CCAACAGCAGCAACTTTCTTTTTCATTGCAGATAATAGCAACCTTGAAATGTCTAAATTTGCCACACCGGACAATCCTCCATCGCGGATAATGTATGGGGGGCAGAACAGAAATTCGTTTAACCACGTTCATTTGGGTAGCCCCCAAACGCCGGCGCAACAAATTATTGCGTTTAAAAATAATTTCCTTTAAAAATAAACTTAATGAAACAGCGCGTGATGTGCAATTGACACGAAGAGCTGCGAGGCTTGGATCCCAGACCTGCGAAATGGATATGTACAGGGGCAATGCAAACAATTTGCCCCACAGATTCCAACGGCTACTGGCTGCAAGCACTTGAATCCAAGCCTGAATCTGAAACTGAACCTGAAACTGAATCTGAATCTGGAGTTTGGAGTGTAGAGTGTGGGGAATGGGTAAGTAAACCCATAATTATCCGTGAGTCCAGGTGTCGTGTCATGAGAAAAAACGTTTATATGTATAAAGCTCCAATTTGCCAAGATGATTTCGCAGCTGCCGCTGGTGGGCTCTCCTCAGATCTGTGGGCATTATAATTAATCAAGAAATGTATGCACAGAAATCAAAAATAATCATCAATGCCTCGGCCGGAGGTGTGATGAGAAAGTGTTGCAGTGTTGTTGAAAGCAATTGCCCAGAGCCAATTCCCAGTTCCCGGCGATGACAGCCCACTCCGAGCATGAAGTGTCCGCCATTATCACCATCACCATCACCATCATCATCAGCATCAGCAGCAGCAACATCCGCGGCATCGTGATAGCCCAAACAACAAGGCCCAACAATTTGGCATTACATGGAAATTGCACTCGATATTAGCTGAAAGGGAACGGGAATGGAAAAAAGGAAACCCGAATACGGAGATGGGCTGGCTTTGGTTTCGTTGGGCCGGTCCTCTTGTCTCGCACCATTTAATTAGATGCCGCGTCAACAAGGTGCTAAATGGGCTGCCATTATGCTGCTGCCAAGGAGTTGGGCCGCGTGGGCTGGGCGGATGCAGCACACGGAGAGAAAATATCATTACAATTTTGGGAATTTCGATCTCATAAAAATTGCATCGTTAAACAAATAAAAAATCCTCCTTTGGGACCTTCTTAATTTAAAGCCTACATATGCCAATCTCTTTTGCATAATTTTGACATAAGTAGAAGACTCTATATCTCTATATACATATAAATGTTGGAGCAAACAATATTATTATAGTTTTTCTATATCTAAATATAACAATTTTAGAACCTATTTTACAATTGATTTGTTCCAAGGGAACTTAGTTGTTACAATGCTTGAGTTTGTTATGTATAGCAAAACAAACTAATTGCATTGAAATCTAATATCTTCTTCCATTAGTTTTCTTTCAGTCCATCGATGCTGCTCCTGTTACCGAAAAAAATGAAAGCTAACCGGGCTGCAACCAGCTGTCGGAGGAGCTGCCCCACCCGGGGGCATGCGTTGCTCTCGTTGTTCGATGTGCTCACCTCGTTGACTCGCCGTCCGGTTGTCCAATTGTCTGGTTGTCTGGTTGTCTGGTTGTCCGGCAGTGCTGATTATGCAGAGGTGATAATTGCAGTGTCCGACGCGTCAAGATTTATTTTTTGAGCTTTAACGATGTGTTAAAATAAATTGCATATGTGCTCGGCTTCACACTCTCTCTTCTCGCGCTGTTCTGGGCAGCCCGTGAAAACCCACAAAACGTCGCGCCTGTGTACATAAAAATTTAATGGGCGCCTGCCTGCCGCTTCTGCCAGAGACCCACCTTGTATGTGCCCCCGATATAATTGCGAGCGGGCTTATTAAAATATCATGAAGTGCTGTAAGGGGGAGTCGCGCGCCCGCCCATAAATCGCATAAATCGACTTTCTAAAAATCGCAGATTTATTGCCCGCTCAAGTTCAAGTTAATTTTTTTTTTTCTTTGGGGTTTTGGTCAACTAACGGTCGGGGATGCGATCGTAATTCAATATCCTTCTCAACGGCCCCCCGTCTAACCTCAAAAATGTCCGTCTGCCTTCCAGTGAATTCTGCTTCACCTCTGGCCCCAAAACAGATTTCTGAATTTCTGAATTTCTGGTAATCGGAGCCGTTCGGGGATATCGTATGTATTTTTTCGACTTGCCTGTTGCGTTTTTCTGCCTAATCAGTCGTGAATAATTTGCAGCTACTGTGTACGCCCCAGGATTTGGATGGAGGATCGGGGTTCGGGGATCGGGCATCGCGGAGACGCTCCTTCCGCTTGGCTAAAGCGTGTCTGCAACATATGGTTCCCTCTGACTCCCTGGCAGCCCGTCTGCAGCTGTAAAAAGTCTGGCTCTGGCTGCACTTTGCATTTCTCGACCACTTTTTGCGCCTTCTGTTCTTTTTTCGGGTGTAGCACGTGCTTCAATGCACATGACACCAAATCAGAATCAGATTTTTTGCACCAGGGCTCCGGACAGGAAGTGAAGGAGTCAGTTGGCAAGGGGAACAAGTGGTATGGAAAGTCTACAAAATTTCAGTTAGAGTTATAAAAAAGCTAAGACACTTTTTTGGGACTTATAGTTTTGGTTTATTTGCCCTCGAAATACAAACGGTTTTTCATATACCAAAGCTATTATGCAAATATTTTGCAACATTATTTTTATCGAAAAATAAACGCATCCATAATATTATAACAAATATTAAAAACTGCTTATTTTTAAACATAAAGATTTTTCATATTTCCAAATCATAAATCAATTCTTGGAAGAGAGAAAATGACTCTATTTATAGACTATGAATCTCATGGCTATAATATATTAAAATATTTCAAATATCAAAATAAGTTTTCCTAAGTCACAAGTTTTCTTTGGTAGTTAGCTTATTATGTTCAGTACAAGATTTATACTTGATTCAAAATGTTGATTAGATTTTTACAATTATTATTGGGAACTCCAAAGCCGATATGATAATACCCCAAAAAATCATCAAAGGGAAAAAGTGGCTTATGGACAACATTTAGTGTTTAGCCAGAACGCAGTCACAATCTCCGGATTAGGCAAACCCATTGAACACTCAGAATGCTCGACCCGCCTTTGTTTTAATCGCACATTTCCCCGAAATTCGCAGCTTTGACCACCATCAATCCGCTGCGAGTGCCACCAACGAAGCTGGCCAATTGACCACTTCCATCCTCGATGGCAGCTGCCAGCAGAGGATTGGGATCGCTCGCGGCCAGGGACATCCGCCCAGGGCCAGCCAACTTCCCCAAGAAATTCGGCAATCATGAAAGCTCCCGATTCTTAGAAATTAGCCAGCCTAGAGAAACTCTATCTAGTCAGAGGAGCCGAGGGCAGGCGAGCTCATTGATTTTGGAGGCGGCTGTTTGATCTTCGACCGGGCGAGCGGATCGATGGATTGATCGACTGCCCGAGCTCATCGACAGCTGTTTCAGCTGGCTCGTCAAAGTCTCAAATCGCGAAAAAGGTTTGAAAGCTTGCGCATGCGCCAAACGTTTGCTCAGCGGTCTAATAATAATCCCCTTCCTGGGACAGTTGGCCAAAAGCCAGGCTTTGCCTGGAACTGGATGCTAACTGGCAGTCGAGAGCGGGGCTTGTTCTTATAAATCTAAAGCAAACACAAGTTCCACCAGCTGGCTAAACCCCTTTTATGAATTATTATGTCTTGGTCTGTGATCTTTGAATGAAATACAGCTGTTGACATTGGATTGGCATGCATTGTAGTTGCTGTTCTTTCTTTTTCAATAACATTTTTTAGGAATTTTAAAACAAGTAAGAAGGCTTTAGTCGTGTGGCCAGATGTGATGTGTGACCAGATACTCGTATCATTATCTTTGTTATGTCTTTTAAACTTCATTTGTTTTACTGAAAAATGTAGAAAATGTTAGACTTGTCGATAGATATTAACCGAAGATATACCACTTTGACATCAGATGCCTGAAAGAAAAGTTATGGATTTAAAACGGCAGGTTTTCACTTTTCTGCATAGACCATTTTTTTCGGAGATTAAGAAAGGGGGTACATCACAAAATATGAAAAAAATCGGCCCGAAATTACAAGATTTAAATTACAAGATTTAAACGCAGATTTTTAAAGAAATAAGCCACAGGACTTTAAAGATATACCATTTCGAAATTGGATGCTTGAAAGAAAAGTTATGACATTAGAACTGTTCGCTTATGTTCAAATTTCTGCAATGCTATTTTTCGGAAATTAGTTAAGGAGTTAATATCGTAAAAATAACAACACAAAATTTGTAAACAAAATTTAAATGCAGATATTTAAAAATATACAATTTTAAGATTTCTGTTTCAAGTAATATAGTTATATTGTATTCGTTGAAAAATATGTAACAGGTAATAGAAGCGTTTCCGACCATATAAAGTAAATAAATTCTTTATTATTATTATTATTATTATTATTATTATTATTATTATTATTATTATTATTATTATTATTATTAAGTCCTCTGCCACTGCTCTGCCGGCAAACTCCTATCCTATAGGGCCTTGGCGATCGCTGATGTATGAAATTGGAAGGGGGGTGCTGCACACTCTAAGCTTAGTATTGCAAATGCAGTTCCACAGATGGCGCCACCTAGACCTCGATTGTTTTGGGAGGAATATCAAGTTCAAAGTTTGTTAGCTGAGTAACGGGTATCTAAAAGTCGAACTACTTAAAACTTATATTTTAATTTGTAGATCATTTTACATAAATATTTTACATGAATTTACACATTTGTAAGTATTGGAGCGCCATTTCAATGATGTGTTAGAAAAAGAGACTAACTTTCTATAAATTTCGATAGTCAGATATCGATTGTTATAAACGTGATCTCAGATTTAAATTTTATTTTCCATTTTTGGGGTCAGAATTGTGAGCGGAATTTATATCTGCAAATGCAACTGCCAAGTTCTTTTAAATCGATTTTTTAATAGAAAATACTGTACACAATAATTTCTCGAGGAACAGTTTTTATATTTCTAAAACCACCATTAAGCCCAATAATTGTAAATGCGTTTATAAATGCACCTTGTTACGCGCATGTTTTTTATGAATCGTTCGATACATAATTCTTATTCATAAAGCGACCGACAAATTAATGCTAAAAGTACAAAAACTTCCATAGTGACCTAAAATTATAGGGAAAATATAAGGGAGGCAGAGGTCTGGAAAAACGGGTATTTAACAATAAACGAATTTATACTCTATCAGCGATATAGGCATAGCATATATACGATATTGAGGGCGCTAATCAGTAAAATAAATATCAATCTGTTGTTTTGTGTTCTGCATTCATTCGTTTAGGATTCCAGGCTATTCTCAGTCTGAGAGCTTTGTGCCGCCACTTCACAGGAGGCGAGCCAGCCAGTCAGTTAGGGGCTTTAGTTCCTGATCCTTGGCGGAGGCCTCCACAAACTGAATGTTCTGTGCGATGTGTGAGAACTCGAAATCGCGTCCATGTTTGCCCAATGTGATGGACTTGCTGGCATCGTCGTCGCCCACGGATTGCAGTTTGCGGCTCCTGGTATCGCGCACTATATGGAGCTCCTTCTCTAGAAGATTTTTGATCACCTGAGCGCTCTTGGCGGTGGTTTGATCCTGTTTGTTGCAAAGGACCAAAACAGAGCAGGGCTGGGTGGCACTGTCTGACAAGATGGTGTACAGGAAACTGGGAAAACAAGCGGATTAGCAAGGGTTCCAGCTAAAACAACTCTTTCAAACTCACTCAGCAACATCGCGGATGTCCTTCTGGGCCGTAACAGAGTCCACTACAAAGACAATGCCCTTAGCCCGGTGTTTATACAGCTCTAAGCACTTGTCGCGCACCCTGTAGTGTCCGGGTATATCCACTAATCTGGCAGATGAGCTGCCTGCCTGGTAAACCTCCACGTTCTCCTTGATCGAAGTAAAAGTAGTTGGGAATTTGCCATGGAGCAGCTGCATGAAGATGGCACTTTTGCCAGATTCACTGAGGCCGGCGAGCAGGATGTCTTTGCGACCAGCAGAGCGTCTTCGCAGGATCACAAAGATGGCTAAGGGAATGGATTATTAAAAAGGGATTCCAGATTTCAGGTGAGACTCCCGGGGACAAAAGGCAATCAGCTACCACGTGGCGTACTCACCCACTGCAATGAAACCCAGTAAAAGGGCCACTAAAATGGGACCAGTGTCGATCTCGCCCAGCTTGATTTGTTTCCGCTCCCTTGCATTTTTATTTAGTTTGTCCATTTTCGGCTAGCAAAAACACCAAACAAATTGCTTGGGGGAAAATGACACGCACTCATATAAGGCGAGCCCTTTGCAACACTGTCTTAGCGAGTAGTGTTGAAAATCCAACATATGCAAGGGCGCTGGATTCAAAAACTTTCCTATGTGAAAATACATTTATTTTATGTGTTTACTATGTTTACAAAAAATTGGGCCGTTACATTAATAGTGTTAATGCGTGATGAAGCTTAGCAAACCATAACAAAGTACGTAGTGTCGAGCGCTCTCTAGCATCTAAACTAAATGGAGGGTTTTCATCCGAACTAAATCACGCCCTGCGGTTTTTCACCAGACCGTAGATGAGGCGGAAAGTCAGGTTGCAGGAGAAGGCCCAGGCGGGCACGGAAATTGCATTGGCCACGCCGGTGGGAAAACTGAGGAGGCCCGTGAACGGTGCTAGGCTGATGCCCTCGTCGATGATCATTACGGGAGTGCCGCGATTCCGGATGCTGACAATGACCGTGATCAGCGAGAGCAGCACCTTAGAGCCGTAGAAAACGGCCGTGTCGATGCCCATCCGCATCAGATTCTCCACTCCCCGCGCGGATTTAAGTTTGGCCTCCGCCTCCGTTACTTTTCGCTCGGCGCGCATAATTTTGATGGTCCTGGCATATTCCCCCGAGTGCTCTGCATTGCGCACCTCCTCCACTTGTTCCCGGGCGGACTCCACCTCCTTCTGCAGCTGCCGGATTTCCGACGAGTTCCTGGCGCCCCACAAGCGGGACACTTTGAGCTGTGGAACGAAGGGTAAACTGTAGCGGCGGGTTTCACTCCTCCGGGCGATACTCACGTAGTTCCTTATGAAGTCTGGCAGGAATGTGTTCAGCAGGCTGAGCAGCGCGATTAGTCCAAACAACGTCATGGTTTTATGTCAGTTTTAATTCCAATTAGGGGAATTATACGGCCAGTCTGTCTGAATTGCGTAGGAATAACAATATAGTGTGGCAGTATTGAAAAACGGCGTACAGAAAGTCAGCTGATTAGCTTCTGACATGGGCGTCGGAGTGGTAGGGGTCCACTCATGTTCATATATTAAATCTTTAATAAAAAAACCAGTTGAAATTTAAATATATTTAATTAATATTGCATATCGTTTACCTTTTTCTAAGTACCATAGTATGGATGGTGTATACTCAAATATAAATAAAACGCTGTAGGCTTAGATTTATACAAAATGATATATTGGAGTTAATGGTAAGGGAATAAATTCAAAACACGTAATTTTATGCATTGCAAGCGCCATTTTTTATTCTGATAAAATGTCATGTTTTCAGAATTTATAAGCTCAAGCTCCGCCATTTGAACAATGTTATAACCCTTTTATTCAAATAAAGAATTTATTTTAGTGTGAGCACAGTTAAAATACTTTTATCTTGAAATATTCAATATTCAGTTTAAGATTTGCATCAGAGTTTTATTATAAAACAAAGATTTTGGTGACGTTTTAGGAAGCCCTTTAGGTAAGGTAAATATGTTTAATGCAAAACTCTAGCTACGCCCATGTTTCTAGACTACAAGCAAGTTGACAGCACCGTGTCAGCCAGTGCTGGGCAACTCCGGCAGTTATCAGCTGTGCCGGCAAAACAAAAACACATCTGCTCGAAGTTTCTTGAATATTCCACGGGATTGGAATTAAGCGAAGATCCGATGAGCCACCACGACCATGGAAGACAGGAACGAAGAGGTAAGCATCCTACGTCCTACGGAGATAACATAAATAACGCCTAATATTCTCGGCAGATTGAGCCATGTAGGAGCATCGGGCCGCACGAATTGGAAGCGGTGAAGAGCCAGGCGGTGATTAAGTTGTCGCCTGTCCAGCTGCCCGCCCACTTCAAGCGGCTGGAATGCAATACCAACCTTAATCTGCCGCCCCTCAACTGGCTGACCACTTCGCACAGCAGCCACGGATTGCACCAGGCCCTGTACCAGAGCGCCGGATTCGCCAGTTTCCGGCTGGGCCAGATGTTCCCCGACTGCGTGGGCGAGGTGGATGTGGTCAGTGATGCGGAGAACATCAAGCAGCTGCTCAAGCTGCCGTATAGCGCCCAGAGCGCCATCAGCATGGTGGTGCACAAGGTGGGGAACACGCTGCTCCTGGACGAGTTTGACATACAGAAGTATCTGCTGCGCAAGGCGGACGACGATTGGAAGTGGCTGCGCACGTTCATCCTGGAGCACATTCTGACCTACGGCGACACCCAGCACAACTACTGCCTGAAGGAGCGTTCCCGCGAGGCATTGCAAACCAAGAATCTGCTGTCCAAGTTCCTCTATCACAGTCTTAAGCAGACTGGCGATGAAGTGGACTACGACGTGGCCACCACGCCCACTCAGTTGACCAGCAGACGGCAGGGATTGCCCATCACGGGGCCCGTTCTGCCCGAGCCCAAGATAGAGGAGAATGTTCCGGACCCGAAGTCCAGTCATGCCTTCAATAGGAACGTGGTCTGGACCTTCGAGGACATACGCATGCTCATCGGCACCGACATGCCCATTTTTGGAGGACCCAACAGGCCGTGCATCAGTCTGCGTTTGAGGGACGCCGCCCAGCCCATAAACGTGCTGACCGGAATCGATTACTGGTTGGACAATCTAATGTGCAATGTGCCCGAGGTGGTGATGTGCTACCATTTGGACGGCATTGTGCAGAAGTACGAGATCATCAAGACTGAGGACCTGCCGTATCTGGAAAACTCGCAGTTCTCGCCACAGGTCGTGCGCAACGTGGCCCAAAACATTCTGGCCTTTCTCAAGGCCAATGCCACCAAGGCGGGACACACCTACTGGCTGTTCAAGGGGCGCAACGACGACGTGGTTAAGCTGTACGATCTTACCACTTTATGCCAGAGCCAGGAGGCCAAGAAGTCGGAGGGTGATCCGCCCCAGCAACAAATGAATCCCTTCACCGTTCCGGTGGGCATGCTGCTGTACTCGGTGGCTCGCAACATGAAGAACACACTGCCGCACATTAGTCCCAAGGCAGCGGGCAACATACGTGCCCTGCTGGACAACTGCATCAAGCTGCTGCCCAAGGAGCAGTACCCGCAGATCGTGAGCTCCTCGCACTACATACTTTCGGATTTGCATGTGCCGGCGGGCATTGATCCCAAGGCGCCCAAGTTCGAGGAAGTGGATTCCGACGATCAGTCTCTCTACGACGACGATGAGGAGGAGGACGAAGAGGACTATGAAGACGAGCTCCTGGACTGTAACTTCTCAAGCGAGAAGAGCTACCAAAGCAGCGAGCAGGGTGGCGGCAGGGCCAACGTGGCTGTGCGACATATTTGCGATGCGTTGAGAGACTTTAAGTCGCATGCCAAGAAGTCAAAGCCGGCTCCACTCTTGGCCACAACTGCCGAGCGGTGCAACATCTCACTGGAGCACATCAGTGCCGGACTCTCCTGCCTGCAGTACTTCAACGGGAGTCAGGAGGAGAAGCTCAAGGAGTCGGAGACAAATGCCAAGCAGGAGGAGAAGCGACGCATTCTGCACGAGGAGCAGAATCCCAATATGGCCAAGCCTTTCAGTGCCATTCCTCTGCCCTATGAGCAGCTTAAACTCAGCCAGCAGCCGGCGCAGCAGCCGGTTGTGAAGAAACAAACGTCCAAGGCCAAAAGAAGTAAGTCCAAAGAGCTGGCCACAACGGCAAGGTCCAATAACGTCAGTGCCAGCAATCGCCAGATGAGTGCCAAGTTTAATGCCCAGCACTTTGGCTCCTGGAATGTGCACTTGAAGCTGCTGCTCTTGGAGAAGGCCTGTTTGACATTTGCAACGCTGGCGGAGCACTACTACGAATCCCGTAGCTACGGCTCCACGCTGCGCTCCATTGAGCTTGCATGCCGCTGCCAACAGGTACTCAACAAGTACATGGCCAATGTGGTCTCCCAGTACAGTTGTTTGCTGGGTCGAGCAGGCGATTGCTTCTTCCAAATGTCCAAACACTGGGCGTCCATCGAGGAGTATGTGCAGCAGTACGAGGAACAAGATGCATCCATGGGCGTCATTGGCGACGAGTTGGCCCAGGAGCTGGAAGGAGAGGAGGCGGATTGGCCCTCCCTGGCGCCGGCCAACAATGTGGAGCAGGTGATGCTGCACAGCTGCAAGTGCTACGAGCAAGCTTTGGAGCATGCCCACAAAACGGAGAGCAATGAACTGCTGCGGCGACTGGGAAATGTGCGGAATGAGCTGGGTCTCAAGTACATGTACTGGGCTCAAGGTAGGTCACCTAAATATGAGAATCATTATAGTACTAAACCCAATATTTGTGTTTTAGAGGAGTACAGTGAGCTGATGAAGAAGAAAGAGTCGAACAAAGCCACTGAGTATGACCATGCAGCAAGTGCCGATCCTGCCGAGCCGCTGTATGTCAAACTGACTGTCAATTCTTATGATTGCCTGCGTCGCGGCATCGAAGCTTTCAATGCCGTCGAGGATAATGTCAACCTGGCCTTTCTCTATTGTAACATGGGTCGTTTCATGCGCCTGCGCGCCCATCTCACAATGCCCAATGAAAGGTAAGCCATATATTGTCATACTGACCATTAACCATTTCTCATTTTACATTATTGTTATTTAGTGCCATCACCTTAGACAGCCAAAAAGCCTTTTACAGCGAGGCATTCAACTACTACGAGAAGGCCAAAGATTGTCTCGATACTCGTAAGGCGAATGCCGAGCTCTGGGACCTTGTCCACTGGGAACTATCCACTGCCACATTTACGTTAGCCAAACAACTTCAAGACTACAGTGCAGCGGACAAATCAAGTCTGGTTGATGCCTCCAAAGAGGTGCTGGAATTGCTGCAGAAATCGTTGCGACTGTGCGATGTAGAGCACGCTGGAGCTCGCCAAGTTCTGTACAGCTTTCGATCGGGACTGATACACAAAAGGTAGCTCTCTGGCACTTCTAAATATATATGTTTACTAGGTTTATCTTTGACTCGTCCAGGATTGCCTCATTCCACTACTCGCAGCTGCGTTCTCATGGTTGTTGTGATTTTGCTCAGCTACCCAAGTCTACTCTGCAACTTTGCAAATACCACTACGAAAAGGCCACGCAAATACTGGAGGCTCTCAAGGAGGTGGGTGACCTGTTGGTAGTGCAGCTGGAGAGGATCTCCCTCCACGAGTTTCTGGCCGAACGTGAGTATATAGAAGCAAAGGTCACAAGCCATTGATACTTATGAATTTTCCCACCAATCGACCGGCAGTTTCCAACCACAACGCCCAGAAGATCAAGCAAATGCAAGCGGCTTTGGATATTTGTTTACAGTGCCAGCTCGTGTTTGCCCACGTCATCGATGCTAACAGTGGCCAAGTGACCGACGACGAGTTTGCCGGCCATTTGACGCTCTTCGAGAGCCGCTTGCAGAACGCACTGAAGACGCTCACTAAGCTCACGCTGACCGGCAAGGATCCCAAGCAGCTGTCCAAGCTGTACAAGCGCATGTATATGGAAACCTTGACTGGGAAACATGGCCCAGGGGCCCAGCAATCGGCGACAGCTTGCCTAAAGCATTTGCACATGCTGCTCGCCCGGCTGCGGGCCATGTGCGATACCCAACTGGCCCGCGACTAGACGTACGTGTCTTCTGATCGGTTTCAGCCCCCCAGAACCCACCACAACCGTTCGAATTGTATGCATTGCTCGTCGCTTGTTTATTGATGTCTCATCTCAACCCCGCCGCCCGCAGCCGCATTCATCGCTGTCCAAGTGGTCGGCTCCCATCTGCAAAGCAGCCAGCATCAGCAGCACAGCCAACTGTAGGATCTGCAGATCGAAATAACCATGAGTGGCGGACCATTAGCGATGAACAATCAGCCCCAATCTCACCTTGCAGCGCAGACTACTCATTTTGTAAGCGTTTGGAGCCAGTTTTCTGAGCTGGTCATCGGCAGCTCGGCTCTTATAAGGTCTGAGTGCCCTGGCCCAGACGTGTCGTTTATCTAGATTAGCCCCAGTTAAATATCTTGTTCAACAAGACATCTGATGGATGCTCGGGTCCGTCAATCTCAGCTCGAGGTTTTAGCCCATTTTCACTTGCGTTACAAAGCGAATGCTGTTACAATTACTATTATTTATCGTGTCTTTGGCTTTAGTAACAGTTTCCAGACTTACAATAATACGTTTACTTAATTCCTAAGAGCAAGGTAACTAGCTAAAACGCAAAAGACCAATAAAGAAATCTTAAAAGAGAAAACATCCGGAGAAAGATCGATTTCATCCATCTGGTGGCTGCTGTGGCCCTGAGCCTGGCCTACATCTAAATAATTCATTATTCATTATATACTATCAAACGTTTGTGCCCGCCCCATAAGCCATTCACAATTTGTGTAGCGCCACTTCTCACTTGCGTATTATAAAAAGCTTAGCGCGGCAGTTTGAAAAGTCGAACGAACGGCTAAGTGTTTATAATTTTATTGTAAATTTTATCTCAGTTTTTTTTGCTTTTGTATATAAATTCTACCAACGCAGCAGAAAGTTCAGGCCACTGCCTTGACCGCAGTGTGTCACTGAAATATCGGTGTCGAGCTCTCGGCACCGTGGGCCAAATAGCCCCTAAAAGCGGTAGAAACTACGCAGCACGAAGAGTCATGCGGTCGGAATCTTACGTAATGGGGTCTCGTCTCCGGCAGACAATGGCGTAAGCTTAAGCCACACTATCTGGACCGGACCGCATCGAATTGAGAGCCAGCATAGCATTTTGGCCCGGGGGGACTCATTCGGCCTGGCTGCACGTCTCCGGCGGCGTCTCGAGATTGCCGGACAAAGTGCTGCTCCGGGAGACCGGAGAGCCCAAGAAACTTGCATCATATTTGTCACGTAAGAGTTTGGCCTCTGCCTGGATCTGGTATAAAAACAATTAAGTGTGGCATATTGAGACATTAGTTACCTTCGCATCGATCAACTAACCAATTCAGTCTCAGAATGATGAAGTATATGGTGAGTCTAGTTTTCTAAAACAAATTTCAAACAATTTTTAAATAAGAGAGCATCCTTAAAGTGCAATATTATGAAGTGTAAACGACCAAACTAATTTGTATCTTTCTTCAATCCTTTAGTGCATCTGCCTGTGTGCCATTGGCGCTGTTTCGGCCAAGAGTTATGGAAGTGGATATGGCGCTGGTGCCCCCGTGGGTGCCTATGCCTACCAGGTGCAACCCGCTCTGACCGTGAAGGCCATCGTTCCCGCGTACGGCGGCGGATACGGCGGACAACATGGAGGATATGGAAGCAACGCCTACACGGCGGCTCCTGTGGCCTCGGTCTACAGCGGTGCTGATGGCTATTCCGGCTCCGGCTACGGCTCCGGCTACGGCTCCGGCTACGGTGGTGCTCCGGCAGTCGATAGCCAGGCCATTGCCCTGGCCAAGCTCGCCCTGGCCGCCCCCAGTGCCGGATCTCCATTGTCGTGGAAGGAGGCTCCCAGCCACATCCAGCCCGTCTATCCGCCCATCAGCTACGGACCCCAGGTGTACGGAGGCGCCGAGAAGGTCAAGGGCGGTTCGGCAGCGGCTGCCGCCAGTTCCGTGGCCGCTGGCCAGAAGGCGCAGTGGAAGCCCAGCTACTAAACCGCGAACAGTGAATCCGAATCATAAGCAACTAGGTCATAACAATAAAAGCCAAACATCAAGACTTATATTTTGGGTGTGTTCATTTGCTGGGGCCTACAGTTTTTGGTCAAGAGCTTGGCTCTGCATATCTTGCTTGAATTGGCCCAGACTTTGCGTTTTTGCCATGTCACCTGAGACTGAGACATTGAGTTAGCTAAAATTTCTTGGTCTGTAAATTAAATGAAAATGCTGTCTGTTCTTCTAGCCAAAGAAGTGGAAAAGTTGATTTAAAACTTAGTTTAAATTAGTACATACGCTAGAGTAATATATTAAAATAGGTTTTTATTTTTATAAAAATTCACTTACAAATTCATAGACTTTGTAGTAATTTATATTAAATTCTATTTGAATATAATATATTCTATTTTTATAAAATTCACTTAGCTTCAAAGAAATTGTAGTAATTTATATTAAATTCTTATGAGCATGAATGTCTGCATCTTAACATAATAATTCCCATGTATTATATATTTTGACACAAGAATATAAAATATCTCAACTACAATTTTCGAATTTGTTTTAGAATTTACTAATGTAGATGTATAATAATTTTTTAAAAATAGTAAATAAAATATATCCAGATTTAACCAGTTCTAGAAAAACTAGCCCCTATGCTCCGGACACAACCGATCCGTAAACCATTACCCCCAAGAATGTGAAAAACGGATAGTAAGATACAACTACAACAAATTTTGGAGTGCATTTGGAAATAGACGCGTTCGTGGGTTCCCAATTGAGAGATTCGCATGTGAGTGTGGTTTTGTGGAACTATCTAGACCTAGACCGAAACTCAAAGCCCGGGTTACCGCTGCAATGGCACATCGCGTAACCAAGCGATTTTATAATGGCCCAACAACGAGTATATGGAAATACATAAATCAAATATGAGTATGTTCCATGTGGCGGGCAATTATGAAACGCGGTTTCTGGACTGAAACAGGCCAATGTGTGTATATAGGTCACGTAAATATCCAGACTTATTTTCGCGTATAAAAGCGGGCGTTGCTGGTCGGTAAATCATAGTTTGATTGATTACCCCAAACCATGAAGTACCTGGTAAGTTTGTGGAAGCCTTAAAAAGAAAGTGGCAGCCAGCTAATCCTTGGATTTTTCTTTTGATGCACAGATTGTCTGTGTTACCCTGGCCCTGTTCGGCTACCTGGATGCCAGCCCAGTGTACGGCAACCATGGAGGCTATGGTGGCTATGGTGCTGGTGGCTATGGTGCTGGTGGCTATGGTGCTGGTGGCTATGGGGCTGGTGGCTATGGAGGTGGTGGCTATGGTGGTGGTCAAAGCGTCGTCTACAAGGAGGTGCCCTCGTACGGCTATCCTCAGGTTCTGCAATCGGAGGGAAGTGGTGGAGTGGCTAGTGCTTCCGCCGCTGCATCCGCCGCTGCCTTAAAGCCTGGCTACTACCAAAAGCAGCTTGTGGCAGGGTGGGAGATCGATGGTGGAAGCTCTGGCATTAAGATCGGACACGGACAAGGCTACGGTAGTCACTACTAATTCCCAAACCCCCCGCTCCGTCGGCAGCAAATCAAACTATCGTTTACTGGTTCAAACCCTCGAGTGGCTGTCACAGCGAAACTCCGAGAATCTGCGAATAAACACATTCTAAACGATTTGGAAATTATTGAACAAAAATGCATTTTGAGTTTTGCAATTTATTGGGCAGTTGTTGGGTTTAACCGTGTGGCATACTTTGGGGTGCAGTACAATTGCGGGCAGAAGCTGAGCTTTAAAGCCCTGAAAATGACAGCTCAGATATATATTGAAAATTTCACTCCTAAGCACTTTACATACATTTTAATACCACAAATAATCAAATCATGTAGTAAAAACACAGCTATAATCAGTCGCTACAGCTTTCTTTCTGTTTTAACATTAAAGTTTAGTTTCGTCAAGTTAGGTCAGTGCTCGTAATATATAATTACTTGTATCAAATTTAATTGATTTTAAATACTAAATCACAAGCACTACTCAATGGTTAAATAATATAAAATTTAGCTAATATATTTAAAAAACATCCATAACTTATTTTTAAAAACAGATATTTTTAAATCGATTTATTTTCATACTGTCATGCAGAAAATAAATTTGTATGTAAGGCTTATATTGATTAAAAGTTAAAAATACACATACATAAATCAAACTAGTTTTAGGAAATATAAATACAGGTAAAATCAATTCCTAACTCATGCTAATTTCAATGGCATATAAATAAAAAAAAAATATTTTATATAATGATGATATAATAAAAAAATATTTGAAGACAAATATAATAATATTTTATTTAAAATATTAATTTAATGGGCCGCAAGAAGATTGTATTATGAAATGAAATTTATGGGCATCTTAAATCTCCCAATCTTAAGCTTTGAAAATTATATGCTGAGCAAAAATAGAGGTTCCATTGCCAATACATAATCAATAGATTAAGATTTTGTCACAGGCACGTCGACTCAACCCTCAGATACCTTCCTATCCTCTTAATCCAGCTGCGTTCCCTCACGCACCGCACAATGTGGCCGTAAAAAGGCCTGATTTTGCACCGAAGTTGGGTCATCTGCATCGGCCACCTCCAACGAAGGTCGACCGCCGAATGTCTGCGATACGGGCTGTTGTGGCGAGAGCAACCTGCTCAAACCAAAGCGAGCCGAGTATGGAGGCCCGATATCTGGCTAGGAAAAGCCAGAAATCCACAGAAAGTTCACCAGCAAACTGGCCGAGCAGAGACGACGCAGCCAGCTCTTGAGCCGTGATAAATTTCTGGGCGAGATCACGTTTCGAGTGCAACAATTATTTTTGCTTATATAAAGAAGTGTGCTTGCCATTCAATATGTTAATTCTGCCAACTGCGTCAAACCCAGACATCATAGCCATGAACAAGTTCGCTGTAAGTAAGAGGGTGTCCCTGATGGATGCTCCGTGTTCAGTGCCCAGTTGGCCATTTCGCAAACGCAGGCTAATTTGGAATTTTTCCTTATTTTCCAGACCCTGGCGGTTATCTACTGCGCCTGCATCGTGAGCAGCTGTTATGCCAGCGGCTACGCTGCGCCCCAAAGCTACGGACCCCAGAAGAGCTCCGCTGCTGGGGGCAACCAGCAGTATGTGCGCCCCGTGGAGATCATTGCGGGTGGACCCAGTAGCGGCTATAGCCCCAAGATCCAGCCACCCATCCCGATAAGCGGAGGATATGGCGGCATCCAGCATAGTGCCGGATACAAACCCCACCCCCGTTGGTCCGTCCAGCCCGCCGGAGCCACGCTCCTCTATCCCGGCCAGAACAACTACCGCGCCTACGTCTCGCCCCCGGAATACAGCAAGGTGCAGCTGCCTATCCGTCCCGCCGCTCCGGTGGCCAAGCTCTACATCCCCGAGCAGCAGTACGCTGGCAGTCAGTACGGTGGCAGCCAGTACAGTGGCAGCCAGTATGCTGGCAGCCAGTACGGTGGCAGCCAGTACGGTGGCAGCCAGTACGGTGGCAGCCAGTACGCTGGACAAAGCAGCAGCGGCTACTAGGCGTATACTTGATCTCAGCCTGATGGTGTACACAATGTACATAATAAACTAGAAAACAAAAAACCATAATCATAATGCTCTTGTTTTTCGGGACTTTTGGGTCGTTTGGTACACAATAGCTATGGGTAAACTAATTTCGGGTCTCACAGCTCAAATGCAGCTGCTGCAGCTGTTCGGAGCCGGAGAAATATTCATTTGATTGCAGTCGCCGCCACCGGGAATGTGTTTGAGTGGCTTGGCGGAAACGTGCTCCGGATTTGCTTGCTCCGGCTCACTCGCAAATCACTCACCGCCACCCAAGTGCCAGAGCCATAAACATTCAATTATTTATTGTGTCAGTCAAGTCAATAATCTAGTGGCCAGAAAGCGCCACAGTTCACGATATACGATTCACAATGCGCCGATTGTAGCGCGTATTTTCTGGCTGGTAAGCAAATCAATCTGCTGAGTTGTTTGGCCCAAACCCAAACTCTTGGCCACGAGCTTCAATGCTGCTGGCCATCGCTTGACATTCGAGTCGAGCGCTGAATCACGCCAAAAATTCTCGCTTCGAGTGCGGCACAATTCATGGAAAAAGTTTTGGGTTAACTTAAGACCGTGTGTGGCGGCATTAAAAAGAAACATATTTTCATATTTCATTAACATTTTTCAATTTATCTACGTAATTGTATCTTTAGAAAATACTTTAACTAAAGTTAACAGACTTTTAGATTATGAAACTTTCTTTTTGTATTTAAAATAAAACAAATTATTAACAACGTTTAAAATTCTATCATATGAAATATCTATCTCAAATTTATAATATGATAAAAGAACACAATTCCATGCATATTTTCTTTAATTGATAGCTCATAAAATTAAGTAAAAAAAATTTCAAATTTGTATCTTCAAGACTTCAAGTTCAAGTCACCTTAAGATCATTTCAAAACTTTTGAGTTAAATTTTTTTTTTATGTAAACTTTTATGGTAATTTTGGTTTTTAGCTGCACTTAGGTGGGTAGATCCTTTGGTATTAAAATTGGCCAAATTTAAATGTCAATTATTCAACAAGACAGAAGATTATTTATCTACAATCTGCAAATTTAAAAGAGAACAAACTTGGTTAGTATTTGTTAAATAAGAAATATCAAATATAAATACGATATTAATTTATTATTATGTTCTTATTAAAATAAATAAATATTAATAATAAAATTAGCTTGTATACAGTTAAATGTATCTCTAAAACGATGTTAAGATCCATGGACTGAATGCCATAAGTTATCGACTTATAAATTGCGAACCTGGTTCCGGTTCATGTTCATTGAGCAGTGGCCTAGGCTTAGCCCCAACTAGCCCCCGACTTTCGATGCGTGCATTGGCCGGATCGCGGCGGAGTATGGCCAAAGCCCCGATACCGCACACACCAGAAGCGAGCAGAGCGTGCCGAGCAGGGGGAAGTCGCTATCAATGGAGCAGCTTCGCGGGGTTCGTGGTGTGTGCGGGGTGTGCGCGGGGTGTGCGGGTTGCCCGGGGCAGTGCCTCAATTTGGCGCGCAATTTCAATGAGCATAGAAATTGGAGACGATCCCGGGGCCTTATCTGTTGCCCGGGGACAGAGACAGGGGGGATGCAGGGGATGCAGATGCTGTCGCTGGCTGACGCTGACGACACCCCGAAAGTGACTGGTCATCGGCTGGTTTGGTCACGTCTGGTGAGCTCACAAATCGCGGAGCAGCTCAAATGGTGTTGCTATAAAAGCAATTTGGACACACGCTCTGGCTAATTAGTTTTCGCAACAGTCCGTTCCTCGCACCAACGCCAAATACTCCAAAAATGTCCGCCACCCTGCGCCTCCTCTGCCTGATGGCCTGCTGCATTGCCTTCGTCGTGGCCAGTCCGCAGCCCCAATACGGCGGCTCTGGATACGGCTCCATTTACGGGGATGTGGTCAAGGCCGCCGAGACGGCCGAGGCCCAGGCCGCCGCCCTGACCAATGCCGCCGGTGCCGTCGCCTCCGCCGCCAAACTGGGCGGAGCCGACTGGCAAGCCCTCAACCAATATGGATGGGAGCAGGGCAAGGAGCTCCTGGCCAAGCAGTACGGTCCCTTGGAACCGCTCTACGCTGCCGCCCTGCCACCACGCTCCTTCGTGGCCGAAATCGATCCAGGTGGGTTGCTTCTTCATGGGTTATGATTAAAGAACACGAAATCGAAGCCAACAAGTGACAGTGCTCCATTGATAAATACCACTATTATTTCTTCCAAAGATTCTTCTTCTATAAACCAACTTACCTTCTCTTCTATCTCTACTTTTCAGTCTTCAAGAAGAGTCCCTACAGCGGAGCTTATGGCGCGGGTGCGGTTCTGAACACGGAATCCAAATTGGGTGTTGTGGCTATCTAAGAGCTAGGATTGTTTAGCTCCAAGAGTGTTAATAAAAAGTGATAGCTTAAAGCAAAATATCATATATAGAAAATTAATTTATTGGGTTGGGAAACCATTTCTTGGGTTGAAGTGGTTAAAAGAATAATACTTAATTTAAACATGTATTATCAGTTTCAGACACCTGTTTGTTTTAATGATTTTACAAACATTTAAGTTTGTATTTGAGCTATTGGCAATAATAAATCATTTTAAATGTCAAAATCTCAAAAAAGAAATTAGATTCTGTAAGGAAGTCCCTTTTTTCCATGAGCTGTACATTGACCTCATAACTCATAATTTCGTCCAACTAATCGAACGTTTTTTTGTTATTTCACTTTAATGTTAGCCCAAGACTTATGATTTTGTTATTCAGAAATACCAACCAACTTAAACCACCACAATTCCAATGTATCCCCTCCAAAAATTCCACCAGAAAAAGGTTTACCAACTTAAAGACTTGCATATTATCCCTCCTACACCGCTGTCACCCCATTAGTAAGATTGATTTTCACTTATAATTTCTTAATTGTTATTATTATGAATAGAATTTCGTTTTTATTGCAAGATACAAAGTAAAAAATGTGAAATTTGCTCAGTTTTGTTGATGTTGATTTAATGTAAAATTCAAATTCGTTACGAGCACACAGAAATTTACCTACTAAACATAAAGTGAACTAAAAACAAATAGTAGAAGCGGTTGTAACTCGGTTAACTCGATGCTGCAGTGGCGTGCTTAGTGGGTGTTTTGGTGACGATTATCATTTCCATTTCGTGTTTTAATTTTTGTTGTTGTTTGTTTGTTTGCTTGTTTGTCAAATGGTCTCCATTCAAACGTTATGGTTATGGCCAACTCTCGTTCTCTCTTCTCTACGTACATTAGATCGTATGTGGTATATCTATAGCGCTAGCAAAACTCTGCCAAGTTTTCGTTGATTTGTTTTTATTTTTGTTTTTAGGTTTTCAGGTTCATTATTTTAATTAAATTACATGAACTTCAAAATAGTATTATTATTATATAGATAGGATGTGTAGTGTTATGTATTTATAGTGTGTAGCCTATACGAGCCCCCGCCGAAGTGCACTGGGATCTTGGTGGTCGCTGCCTCGGCGTTGGGGTGACAAAAAAATTTAAATTATAAAAACTTTCTCACGCATTTCTCGATCTCGTTCTCGTTCTCCTGATCCTGATGCTCCTGCTCCTGCTCCTGCTCGATCCTCCTGCACTGTGAACCTGAACACTCCGCCAGATGTTGTTTCGGTTAGCTCAGTTCGATTCGGTTTGATAATGAAATGATCTCGGTGCGGGCATGGCGTGATGCGCTCTATTCGGTGATCGTCCTTGTGGTCTCCTGGATGTACACCTGGGAACCGGGCACCGTCGATGTGGTCACGAATGTGCGGTGCTTGGCGCGGATGATGTTCAGGCTGGACTCGGCCGTGTCGGCGCGATCCTCGGCGGCCTCCAGCTCACGCTGGAAACGGCGCACCCGGGTGGTGGTCTGCTGGGAAACACCCTCCTGCTCGGACAGCTGGCGGCGGTAGATGTTGATCTTGGCAGTGGACTTGTCCAGCGCGTCCTGCAGCAGGATGAGGTTCTTCTGGTCCTCCTCGCACTGCACTATCACCTCCTTGACGGTGCGCTCCTTCTTGCGCAGGATCTTGATAGTCTCGGCGTGGCGGCGCTTCTCCTCCTCCAGCTCCAGCTCCAGATCGCGGATGCGGGCCTCCAGCTTGCTGATGATGCGCTTGCTGCCGGCGACGGCGTTCAGCTCGACCTCCTCCAAGCGGATGGACAAGTTCTGGGAAGGAATAACGGATTAGATGAAGTTATTTCATACGCTTCTTCACAGAAATCTGTTATAGCTAACTTTAAAAACCAGTTAAACTTCAGGGCTTGTGTTCTCGTCTTGATGGTCAAATGAAAGACATTTTCATGCTGCAATGTACCATTCGTTTTCTCAGCTGAAAACATACTTAAAGCCTACTATACAAACAGGCAAAAGGGAGTAAATCTCAAACCGAAATATATATTGCGGAAACAAAAATATTTTTAATTTTAAGTTAGAATATTGAAGAAAAGGATTTATTTTAGAGCAAATTCTCTATTAGTTCTGGAAAATTATCTGGATTTTTTAAAACCAATTAATTGGGACACCTTTAATTGTGTTTGATTTATAGAAACAAAAAGTTTTTGGAATTTGATTATCTACTAAGCTAAGGAAAAAGTCTAAGAAATCGACTGTTACTATGGATTTTTAAGTTCGTTTCTCAAATCAACCACTTAATGAAAGTCTGATATTTCTTTGACACTCCTAATAATGCAATTATCTCCTGGAAATCCTGAAAAAAAAAACAATTAATTCACCCACCTTGACTTCGACTTCCAAGGACTTCTTGATGGTCTCCAGCTTAACGATGCGCTCCTGCTCCTCATGCACCTGCTCGACGACGTGCTTCAGCTCCACCGAGACCTTCTGGTAGCGCTCGTCGCTGATGCGTAGCTCCTTGGACACCTCCTCGTAGTCGGAGGCGACCACGGAGAGCTCCTGCTCCAGCTTGGACTTGATGGAGACGAGGTTGACGTTGACGGTGGTCAGCTCGTTGATGCGGGAGGCGGCCTCCTCGTACTGCAGCTCGACGGTGCGCTTGGCACGGTTGGCGCTGTCCAGGTGGGAGCGGACCTCCTCCAGCTCGCCGTTCAGGCCGGCCAGGCGGCGCTGGGCGACGGCATACTGGTCGAGGGTGGCCTGCAGCTGGCGCTGCACATCCTCGTAGTGGGCCTGCAGCTCGGTCAGCTGCAGCGACTGCTTCTTGATCACCTTCTGCAGGTCGATGTTGGTCTTGTTGGCCACGTCCAGGGACATCTCCAGCTCGGTGATCTGGATCTGCAGCTTCTTCTTGATGCGGGTCACCTCGGTCTTCAGCCGGGTCTCCGCCTCGATGACGCGGGCATTGAGCTGCTCGATCTCGATCGAGGTCTGCTTGCTATAGGTTTGGATAATTCACATTAGAATTTGTAAATACTTCCCAATGGTATTAATATCAAGAAGTAGCCACCCGCCCAGAAAGCCACGGTTTACCTCTCAATGACCCTCCGATGTTTCGCTTTGCTGGCTCTATTTTTGGCCCCAATGTCTGACCCACAAATTGCATTTTTCGCACCACTCAGCAGAGCAGTCGAGTGCTTGGGCACTCAACCACTCAACCACTCAACTCAGGTGCTGTGGCATTGTCAAAAATGTTTCGTTGTTTCATTGTTTCGCTGGCCGCTGCATTTGCGAATTTCTGTGTATTTTTACGCATGATAAAGACATCGAACTTGTCACAAATAGCTCGGGTTTACATGCCAAACTATTTTGCCGAGAAGTTCCCTTTCCCCCCTCTCTACTTTGATTTGTTTTTTTTTTTTGGGTAAGTGCATCATGCGTCTATTCTTGGGCGTAGGTGCATTTGCATGCCAACTAAATTTGAGTAATGTATGTATTTCTAATACTCTACCTGATTCACTTTCTAAATTGAGTCTAAAAGGAACCTGTTGCAATTACTGTTTTATTGCAAATGCAGACAATTTTTTTTGAATATGATAAATAAATATGTAAATCATTTAGAAAAGTTCATATTACTTTGGAAATTATACTTATGTTAAAGATTAATTAAGCAAAGGCTTTTCAAAAATACTACAAAAAATAAAGTTACTTTTGAAGTCTAAAATCGTTAAATAACTTCTTAATATTTAGGGAGTTTTGTAAAATGAACACTATTGCTAAAATCTTTTAATAATTCTTAAGTTAGTGCGTGTCGGTAATATCAGCCACAATTTCTTAATTCCGATGATCTTTATGTTTAGTTGTGTGCTATGTTTTGAAAAAGTAAAACCCCTGTGTTGGTTACTTAATCTTCAAATCGTGTGTGTGCTCATTGCTGTCGCCTTGCCAAGGTATTTGGCTAGCATGGGTCTTAGCTAGAAAACTTAAGTATTCCCATTTAGATTTCAATTTTTCCCTGCCATTGTTTTCAATGTTTACGCAAAAATATTTGCTAGGTCTAATGTTGTTCTTCTCTTTCCCCGTCTTTTTTTGTGATTGTTTTTGCTGTCATGCGCATCAGTTTTCCTCGGTTGAAAATAAAATATATCTCGAATTTGAAGGACAAATCCCAAACAATAGTTGCTCGGACCATCTACGCGCAAATCGGACTGACAGCCTCGAAATATCTGAGGTGCGGGTGCGAAATATGATAGGACTGGGTAAAAACGTCGATATTTCAAGGGAAAGTGATGAAATGATTTCGGGTAGGATTAAATGGGTCTCTAGCTATTTAAGTAAAATAAAATCTGAAGGATTTCATAGAATAGAAAATCATCTTTGGAACAAGGAAATTTAGCTTGAAATTATTTAAAAGTTTTGAAAATTTAATAACATGTTTAGGTGAAACCTAAGAAAACGTCTTTTTTGGTCTACATTTTTGTCAGACAAGTTGGTTTTGGTAATCAAAATTTTTGATTAAGAAAAATTAAAACTAAAATTGAAACTATGTTTTCACATACTCTAACATATAGAAATTTTTAATTTCCCTGTCCTAAATATTTTTGTGTGCCTAACATAATTGATAGCTTGGTTTGGTTTGATATTTTCTTCAGAAACCCCCACAAAGTTTATAATTAATGACGAAATTGCTGGCGTTTCTATGCAATTAGCCGTGGTCAAATATGCTGCGCATAATTCTGTATAAATAATTCACAGAAGACTGCACAACAGACACAATGGGAGATGCGGCCAACATTGTGAACGAAACAAGACCGCGATCGGCGAAAACTCTTGAAACGAAAATACATTTTGTGCCAGACGAGAAACGACAAACAGACAAATAGAGATGGCAAATTGCTGGGTCGGGGGAGGAGGTTCTAGGATGGGCAGACAAAAAATTGAGCTGCAATTCAAAAATGTTCGCATTTATTCAAATTGCCCGGATGCGAGCAACCCAGAGAAACAGATCGATCCACTTGATATTAACACATTGTTGTAGGTTTCAAAGAACTCTCTTGTGGATGTTTCTCGTTGGTGAAATAAAAAATCACCAAATTTATTGTCTTCTAAAAATCATATATTTGATTTTTAAAAGGGTTTTTTCTAACTCTTCAACTGATTTGTTTTTGATTTCAGAAAATGTCGCTTATATACTTTTCCAGATCAAATCAAAACACTCTCTGAGATTACTTTTACGATCGTCAAATAAATTAAAACTTCCTTTGCATTGGAATCTAAGATATCGAATGAAGATGAGTGCGTGGGGGGTCAAAAGGAGGAACTGGGAATGGGAATGGGATTGGGATTAGAGGCCCTAGTGCTTCCAATATACATAGCTGTAGTCCTTGAGCTTGGGATGGGTGCGCAGGACCTTGCGACAGATCCAGCACTTGTCCTCTATACCGCACCTGCTGTCCGCGTAGAACTCGACCGTCTTCTGGTTAAGGGTCGACAGCTGGCGCTTCACGTTGTGCAGCGAGGAGGAGACGCGGTGGTCCAGCTTGTCCACCAGCCGGTCGTCCATGAGCTCGATGTGGAGCGCATGGGCGCGCAGCTGGCCGTCGAAGGGGGAGGAGGAGCGCGAGCGGGCCCGCGAAACGGCCCGACTGGAGCGGACCAGGGTCTGAGCGATGTAGTCCTCCTCCTCCTTCTTGGCCGTCTTAATGTTCTTCTCCGACTCGGAGAGCAGGGCCTGGGCAATGGCACTGGCCGACTTGCCGCGAATCGAGCGCTTAAAGTCGTCCGACATCTGGTCCAACTCGTTGTCCAACTCAATCTTACGGATGCGCTGCAGTATCTTGAGGGTGTCGCGTTTGATCAGATCCTCGAGCTCCTCCTGACGGCGGCGGCGGCGCTGGCGCGATCTCTCGACAACTGTGTCCGGTTCAAGGTGCTTGGCCACTCGCGTTGCGTCGACCAACTTTTGCACACTGAACGGCGATCGCTTCTGGGCCCGAAAGCTAAGCAGAATCTCGTCGGCCCGCGCGGCACAGGTGCGCGACAAGCGGACGATCTCGTCGGCGTTGTATTGTCGCACCGCATTGGAGGGGCGGTACTGTTTCAGGCCCCGCTCGCTGACCCACGGCAGGTGCGGCTTCTTCACCTCCAGACCCTTGGCCTTGGCGTCCAGGTAGTCTAGCATCGGCTGGTAGAAGTTCATCGTGTAGCCATAGTTGTCCTCGTACGTGGTCGTCGCCGGACGAAAGCGGGAAGGTCTTTGTTTGAGGGCAAGGGCCATGATTTCGGGAAGGGCAGAGGGAGGGGGGGTGTGGTCAGGGTTTTCTAATGGGTTTGCGTGTGATTCTCCTTAGAGTACTCTAATTAAAGCTACAATTCGTCGCAGCCGCTGCCTCTGTGTCGCCTTGTCGCCCAGTAGCCGCAAAGTTTTCCTCGTCTCTTCGGGTTTTTCCTCGGCCGTTGGCAGCAGTTGCTGCCGCTTTGCAAATAAATTTTCAAATTTGTCGAAATCTATAAAAAGATTGCATTTCGTTCGTTCAGCTGTTGGCATCGGGCTAGGTATGAGCATAATGACGACAATAACATCATCATCATCATCACCATCATTTGTTGGCAGTCAATGTGCGGCAATGATTGATTCGTTTTGGCAACTAGCTCATAGACAATGTCATAATAGCAAGGCACTTTATGCAATACCAGTGGAGGACTCAAAAGATCTAGGGAAAGTTATCAAAAGTAAAAGATCTCAAAATATCTAAGAGGGAAATGGCCCTCAAACTGTCTTTCGAATCGATTTAAAAATAAATTATATATACAGTATAGGTAGATTTTCTTATCAAATATAATAAAAATATATCCTACTTTTGGAAATGATTTGCATTTCTATAGCAGTTAATATTTCTTACATTTTTTGTAAGATTAATTAGAGATCAATGATCATTGTGTAAACATTTTACATTGGTTACTCATTTCTATCAAATGCCAAAAACATTTCACAATGTCAGTTAGACTTTGTCAAAGCCAAGATAAATGTTATGCATATTAAAGTAACCTTGAGCTAGGTTTTAGAACCCATATTTACTACATATAAAATCTTTGCCACGCACTGACCACCAACTTTAATGATCCATCAACCTACCTCTTGCTGGAGAGCCTTTCTTCAAGTCGAAAGTTTTCTCAATGGGATCTTTCGATTTTCAACAACGAACCCACTTTGATTGTGTAATCACAGCAACTGCGCAATTTTCTGCGGGAAATGTTGTTAGGGTTTCATTAAAAATCCAAAATCATTCCAAAACCAGGTGAATCAAACCCACTTCTTGAGCTGAGCCTGCGAACCTTTCGTGGGATCAGGATCTTTTGCCTGGCTGAATAGAAAACTAATGCCGTTGCTTTGTGCGCGACTAAAGAACTCGAACTGATTGCTAATTGCTAAATGGGTCAGTTCACTATCAATTGTGTTGGCAGTGGAAGGCGATTGCGAATCAATCGATTGATTTCCCATGGGGGGACCTTGAGGGGTGTTTACTCGGTTGTTTTTTTTTTCGGGGCTTCCGCTTTGGCAGGGGAAGCGACAAACCAGCGATCGACCTTCGTCTGTTGTCGCCGTCAATCGAGTGGCATGGGCGTAGGGGGCTACTTCCAAAGGGGGTTTACTTAAGTTACTTACCGGATGGCCTCGACCTCCTCATCCTTCTCAGCCAGACGACGCTCGGCGTCGTGGCGGTACTGGTTGAAGTCGGCGGCCAAACGCTGGCCACGCTGCTCCTCAGCCTTGCGGCCCTAAAAACCAAATTAAAATATTGAAAATATGTAAGTATTGTGGACCCTTAAGTGCGTATTTTCAGTTACTTACAGCCTCGGCTTCCTTGTAGGCAGCGGTCAGCTCATCACGCTCGTTCTCCAGACGACGCAGCTCCAGTTCCAATTCGTGCAGACGACGGTTCATTTCGTTGATAGCACCCTTGGCCTCATGAAGATCATCTGGGGGTTTAACGATTAATAATCATTAATTATTTTAATATTGTTATGTTTTTTTTGAAAATCTCAGTATCAAATGGTTTTAAGCTTTTATCTTTCTAGTAAATAAGGCATTACTTTATCCAACTAAATATTTTTGCTTCACAAAGAGCTTACGAATTTTGCATTTGAAACTTTTCTTTTTTGAATAATATTAAATAAATAGTCTAGACTGCACCACAAAAATCTATTATTTGTTTCTACGTTGAGGCCTGACTTAAACTTAGGAATATTTTAGTGGAATATTGAGTGCATTCCGCATAGTAAAATATTTAAAAACATTATTTTAAATGTTTTTTTTTAGTAAATCGAGGCTAGATGGCACTACTAGAACCTAGTGTCTCTTAAAACCTCAACCTTATGGACTTTTAGTGGTAGTAAAAAATATGATTGGCTGAACGCACCTCCCAGTTTCTTGTTCTCGCGGACCAGCTGGTTGTTGGAGTCCTTGACCTTGTCCAGTTCGTGGACGGTGCGGACGAGGTCGGCGTGCTTGTTCTTGAGGTCGCGCTGGCTGTTCTCGTACAGGATGACGGTCTCCTCCAGGCGGCTCTTCAGCTCCACGTTGTGCTTCTCGAGGGTGTTGACCGACTTGGTCAGCTCCCGGCAGCTGTTGTTGGACTTCTCCAGGTCGATGATGAGAACCTCGACCTCGCTGGCCAGGCGCGTCTTCATCTTCTCCAGGTTGTTGACCTTGACGATGAGCGACTCGATGTGCTCCTCCAGCTCGGTGATGCGCACCTGGTATTTGCGACGGATCTCCTCGACCTCCTCGGCGCGGGCGGCCACCTCGGAGTTCCACTTGTTCTGCCAGGAGGCGGCATCGGCATTGGCCTTGACCAACTGACGTTCCAAGTCGATGCGGGCCTCGGACTCCTCCTCGAGTTGATTGCGAATCGAGTCCAATTCGATCTCAACCTGATGCAGTGAGGATTCGAGCAGCGAGCGACGACGGTCCTCGTCCTCCAAGCGGCGGCGGGCGTCCTCCAGCTGGGAGATCACCTGGCTCTTGGAGAACGAGACCGTGTCCAGCTGGACCTTCAGATCTTGGACGTCCTTGGTCAGCTCAATGTTCTCCTGCGAGAGGCGGGATCGGTGCGAGCTGATGTCGATCACGGTGCGGTTGAGCTCCTCGATCTTCACGTTCAGCTCGGTGATCGAGACCTCCAGCTTGGAGATGTGCTTCTCCGACACGATCTTCTCCTTGTTGTAGGACTCGATCTGGGAGAGCAGCTCGTAGACTTCGGTCTGGAATTTAGCCTTGTCCTTCTCGGCTCTGCAAGCATTCGGTTAAAGAGAGGTTTCTCCAGTTTAGTGGGTTGGTCTATGATCACGATCCCGATACTTAGGCATGGTTTGTGAGATCGGCCGGGCTGTGAATCGCTAGCAAGCTTGGGTGGATCTGCGAGCCCTCGGCCATCGATCGAAAGCTAATCGATCGCTGGTCGAGGGCTCAGCAGGCCAAGGGTTAAGATCTTGATTGGTCTGCCTGGAAGCAAGCTATGATAATTGATTGGTAAAATAATAATGCAAAAGCTCGTACGGCAAGGAATGATATGTAATGAGGTTCAATCTGATCTTGGCAAGTATCGGAAACAATAGATAAATAATATATGTTTAATCGATTTTTAAGATAGTTTTAAATTGATTTAGAATATTTTCCTTATTTGTAAATACATTTTATGAGATCATCAATATGCAAAAATAGATCCCCCTTTGTTTATTTATCAATGAAAATTAAGATCAGTAAATATATAAAGTGCCAGTGATTGCAAAAAATCTCTTTTAAGAAAAATATGTTAAAATCCAAGATTGGCATGGTCACGTAGGGATCAAGATATTAATCGTTGATTGATCTCAGGTCTTGAAAAGTTCAAATTAATCCCATTACATATCGCTTTGATCATTAATCGAATTTTCCTTGGGCAATCCAAGGCATTTGCCAGCTTTTCCACCTGCCAGGGGGCATAGATCGGTGCAACCGACCTTTCCCACCCACAAGCTGAAAAGCCAGAAAACGTATCGGATTTCCATAATACTTGATGGGTCTGAGCGGGACAGCAACAAAAACAATCAACACATTTTGTATATGATTCAATCAAAGACATATTTGGGTTGGGGCGTTGGTGCGAGCGAGAGGCAGCGATGCAGGGAAGGTGGCGAGAGCGGAATGGCAACAGCAACAAAGAGGCTCTCTGCTCAAGAATGTGGATGAAAATTTCAAAATTTCTATAAATAAATTTCCCCTCAGAAAGAAAATATGGTATGGGTGGTGGGCTTAACATATGGAAGAAAGTTTCGCCAACGAAAGCTTTTGCGTGCGAAGCTTTTTCGATAGAAAGGGACAGCTGCTTGATCTTCCGACCGTCTTTGTCTAGAAACGGAAGTGCGCAAACTCGGGCGCACCTATCTTAAAGGTGGGAATCCTAAGTATCGTTAACTAACTAGTCTTTGAACTTGAGTTAATCGAAATTAAGACTTTAGATCAATATTTGTTTTAAATAACACACAAAGTTATCTACGTGACTTGATTTCTCTTTGGTTAGCCTTGAATTGGCAGCGGTTTCAACATTCCTGGGAATTTATTTTTGGAAATCGCTCGCTTCGATTTGGAAATATGAGAGGCGGCGGCCAGCAACCGAAAGTTTCTCGAATTTTGCCTATACGTATGGCTTTTCGGCCACAATTTGTGTCAATAGAACTTGCAAGCCATGCAGGTTTATGTCTTCTCTTCCATTTCGCATGTCATGGCATTTTAATGAATTGTTTATGATCTGCTTCGATTTGTATTTCTTTTTTTTTTGGGTCAGCGGGGCAGCGCAAGGTTATTGTATGCTATTGTTGTGTTACTGCACGAGATCGAGAGACATTGAAATGTCCGCCAGCGCCAGCTGACGCCACTTGATCATCATCATTGCGGGCAAATAAATATGTTCTGCGGATGCATGACAGCTCGAAGGATGGAGATGTTTATGTTTTGGATATGGATATGGTTTCTGGGTCAATGGATTGGGGGCGTCGAATGGCGCTGCCTATGCCTACCTAGCCTTGTTTTTCGTTAGGATTTCAACCTGTTCCTGGAAATCCGTGATAATTTCGTTGTGCTTTTTCTTCAAAAGCATAGTGGTCTCCTCCGACTCAAGATGAACATCCTCAAGCAGCTTGCGCAGCTTCAGCAGCTCAGCGTCGCGCTTGCGGTTGGCTTCAAACTGGGAATTTCGATAGGTAGACATTAATGGCTATATCTTGGGTGTATCATACACAACTCACTTGATGTTCAGCACCACCCTCGGCCTCCTCAAGACGCTCGGACATCTGAATGACCTGAACGCTGAGATCGGCTTTCTCGCGCTCAATCTGGAATTTGAAAAAAAAACCCACATTAATTTAGGATTCTCTTGGGCACTGTGTACAATCTGAAATATCTATAAATACCCTGCGCTAGCTATGCTCTATGGCTACTCAAACAGTCCATAATAAAAATTATAAATCACATTAATCAGTCAAAAATAATTATGCACATGCAACACCTAAAATAACAATGGCACATTGCCAAAAAATCTTCCGCACAGAGGTGTAGCCATAGTCCGACTGCATTTGCATCCACGATATAGGCGTATATATCTTTTGTGGGCGGCCGCACACAACTTTCCTATTTTGCATTTCCAAAAAGGCATTCGAACATTTTTTCGCTTGAACAGAAACATTTTTTGTTCGTTCCCTCGGAATCTAAACATTTGCATTTCGCCTTTGTGGACGACCTCGTTTTGGGCAGTTTTGCGAATTGCTATTAAATGGTATTTTATGAGAACTGTGTGCTAGATGCAGCCAGTGGGATTTCTGGTATTTGGAGCTGAAAGAAGCGATCATAAAAAACACCTTCGATACCACTATATTGGCATATAATTTCCTGATAAAAACTACAGCTATAATATATATTATATGAAGTCTAAGTTGGTGACTATACGTAGATAAACATGAATGTATATTTGGCATAAAGGCCACGTAAGTACGGACCGTAAATCCATTTGCGCCTTATGTATCTTGTAGATACATGTTTTTTTATGTGTATATGTAGGAGATATACCAGGCGCGGTGTGAAGGCTTTTAATGTGCATGAAAATTATTTAATTTTCCCACAGACACACACCCACAGACAAATGGTAAGATTTTCCTCAGTGAGCGAGCAAATTTTCCCTCCTCTCTTTCGCTGTTGATGATGGCATTTTGGCTACTTTATTTTCTTTTCTTCTCTGCTCATATTTTGGTTGTTTTCAAGTTAATCATTCGCTTCTCTGTATTGAATGTCGTGCGCTAATTTTAGCCATTTTGTTCCATATATTGTGCGAGTGTGTTGGGGGGCGTATCTGTGTGCGAGTGCGTGCTAATCCATAAGGCAAAAGTAATTAAAGTTATTTCCAACAAAATATAAAGAACATTCTTGGCCAGCCCATTCCATTCCGGCAAGAGCTCTCCGCATTTTCTAAATTTGTAATGCCCCAGAGGATCGCGCTGAATGAAGTGCACTTTCGGCCTGCGAATTTCCCACTTTTCTCTGACTTTTCCTCTGGCTTTTCTTCTGTCTTTGCGGCGGCCGCTGTCTTTGCAAAGTCAGGCGAAAAATCATTTATCAATGCTCCGCGA